GGGGGGGGTAGTGTGCGTCAATGACGAATACGGCGCATTTTTTGTTCTTTCTTTCTCTCTTCACTTCCGGACGGTGATACCAGTAGGGTTATCACACATCTGTCATGATGCACCGGCAGTGTGTGATAGGGGAGAAAGGCCACGGGAGACGGATGAATGATATGAAGTGCGGGTTTTTCCTTCCCTTCTTTTTTTGATTGATGAACGGAGAGATACAATACAAGGGCAAAGGCGGTATTGCACATGTGCGTACAGTAGGGCACACCGCACAAGTTTGCATAGTACTATCGGGGAGGAGAAGATCGCTGCATAGCCGCCTTTCGCAACATTCCCTCCGCACGGGGTCCGAAGGCGAAAGGAACACGGCGGAGCCATAATGTGTAGAGTAGGATCCCAGAGATGTAACCCGCTGTTCACCATTCACCATTAGCAAACCATCACGAAGCATGGAGGGAAGAGACCATACCCAAATGTCCCTTATGCCCAATCCCCAGCCCATAATCCCACACAAAGGCGCCGCCGAAATCAAAGGCCGCGAGCAGGGCCATGAGCGTGCGGATCCTGAAGCTGTAGGGAATGAACATGATGTTCAACTCCATCCCCGGACAAACGATGGCGGCGATGGTCCCCAAGGCGATGATGCCCCCACTGCTGCCTAGATTCGCACTGACGGCGTCATTGAGCTTCCTCTCCAAATGCTTCCTCCCATCCTCATCCATCGTCGTCATCGCCGTGGCCGAGAACCGGCGGTGGTGGAGCGCTGCGTTAAGGTCCTGCCCGGACACTTTGCTCCAGGGGTTCAGCCAGCGCTCCGAGCCGGCTATCGCCGTGCCGACCATGGTCGAGCTGAGAAGGAAGGCGGCAGCGGTTCGGCGGTCACCGTATGCGAACGAGAGGCTGGGGACGAAGGCCTTGAAGCCCATGTAGCAGAAGAGGAAGTGCATCATCCCGCCATGATTGAAGGCGTAGGTGATTAGTGTGTGCCATGGTTTTGGATCGGCGGATTGCGGGTAGAAGCGGATTGGCGTTAGAGTTGTGTTTGCCCATGTCACCTGCGAGATGTGCTGTAGCCGGAGGAGGTCCGGGCGGTGGGCTCTGATGTAGGCATTCAACTGCTCTTTTGTTGGAGAGGAGGAGGCGGGGGTGGGAGTGGGGGTGGGTATGGAACTGGATTCCAGATCCCGGGCCGAGATCAGGAAGGGTGCGAGGAGGTTGATGTTCGAAAGGATGAACACTGGGAGTGCCAGGCTGAGGAAGAGCAAGATCACCGGGCGGCCGGGCTCAGGTTCGTTCGGGCCCGAGCTTTCGGACTCCGCTTCCGTCTCTGCTCCGTTTCGTCCCCCATTACCTCCCTCCGTCGATTGCGGCGAGACCCCCTCATGTTCTTCCCGCAGTGGGGCACCCCTCCGTGCACTTCCGGGATAAGTCTTTAGGGAGCGTGGGCGAGCAAACATCCATTGCGAGGTAGCTATTCGCCGAACGCCCAATTCCGAACGCCGTAGCGGTGGCAGTGACGATGATGGCGATGATGGTGATGAGATCGAGGGTCTGCAAGTCGCGTGCCTGGCCCCCGCCCCTGCCGTCCTCCGAAAGAGCAGCAGTGTGCGGGATTTGTGCAATGGTGGGAACATTTGCGAGTTGCAGTTCAGGTGTGGTGCCGTAACGGAGCAGCTTCGAGTCCAGGAATCAAATCAAGCACCTGGTCATAGCGTCCATCTTTTTTTCCCCCCCCCCCCCACCGGTTTACGATCGGTGCAACGGTAGCTTAACTCATCCGCACACTCAAGCACAAGGGGCACGTACGGTACAGTACAGTAAGTGGCGTCTTGGCAAGTCATAACCATGGTTATCATAGGCATAACCTAACCCTCCACCCCTACCCCCAAAGTCGCCGCCGCCCATGGCCGACACTGCACTGCATGCGATGGTCCAACTGCACAGTATACATACAGCAATCATCAACATACCACCGAAAGCGGATCCCCTCAACACGGGTCCTAACATTCCCCCCATCTCTCTCCCTCTCTCTCCACGCAGATCACCACCCACAAGCGGTAAAAACTAACGAATAACAAAAAAAACAATAAAAAAAACACCCACCTGCCTAATCAATACGGTACAGTATATATTTATTTTCCATTTTCCACCCCCCCCCCCCCTCCTCCCTGTTCACTTGAGCCCTCTCCAAAAAAAAAAAAGATTACCTTCGTACGATACCGGTACCGGTACTCCGGGAGCCTGAAGGGTCCGCCGTCTTATTATTATTATTATTATTATTATTATTATTGTCAGACATGCATACTAGCACATAGAATACATCCAAGTATCATAACACAACACTACAGTACATTGCCATAATCCACAGTCTATCATACCGGTACTACGATACCGTATTAATATAAACCATACCGTATCCTACGATAACAGTCCGGGACATTCCAAAAAAAATAAAAAATCACGAGTACGATAACTTATAGTACCCGTACAGTATCGTACTCTTCACGTTCGGAACAATACCCAGGACACGGTAGACCACGGCACGACACAAGTATTGTCCGAATACGATTGGTTACTGTACTGTACTCGTACTCGTAGATGGATGACAGACACATGACAAAACCACCGGGACATATCTGGACCTGAGTTCGGCGTGGGGTGTTCTGTGATACGGTGTTACTGTACTATAATAGCACGGTAATCTATCCATTAGTCTATCTACGGTACAAGTATCTATCCACTCGAGTAACGCGCCAATAGAGGTGAAAATTCCTCCATTTATCGTATTGTACGAGTACCAGTACAAGAAATGGGGGAAAAAGCGCCTTTCAGGTACTGTACTTGCACTCCGTTCACTATTGTTATTATTAATGTACTAGTACAGGTATCATAGTTATCATCATTATTACCAACTACAGTAAGTTTATCCCGGAATCAATAATTCTCATTCGGGGGGTTTTTTTTAAAAAAAAAAAGGGGGGGGGGGGGACTCTCTGAGGGCTGATCACTTTGTCTTGCTTGATCCTTGGAATTTTCCACCTAGAAAAAAAAAAAAAAAAAAAAAAACAACCTCTAAATACAGGTACAGTACGAGTACGGTACTCGAGTACAGCCCACGATTTCTCTCATTTTCAAGTTCAATTTTTTATTTGAAGGAAAAAAGAAAAGGGGGGGTTGATATATTGTCATAACTACAGTACACGGTACTAGGAATGTACGAGTACAGTACTAGTACAGTACCGTATGATAACCCACATCGCATCCCGGTAGTATTATAGATCTTTTTCGCACAGCGTGATGACAGAATCCCGATTGTGCTTACACCCATTACCACCGCTGCCTACCGTATAATACTACTGTACCACCGTGCATCTCAAATACCTGTACGAGTGCAGCTATCGGTACTGCAAGTTATCGTATCGCAACATCTGGGAATGATGTTTTCTTGACCTATTATACGATAGCTTAGTGGTCTCTCTCCCTCTCTTCCCCCGGAATCAAATGTCCGTCCATTCAAACGTGCCGCAAAATAAAACGACAAAAACAGGGACCGAGAGGGGGAAGGGGGAGGAGGGAGAGCGGAGAAGAAGAAGAAAAAAAAAAAGAGTACCGTATCATAGAAAAAAAACCGAAAATGTGGAGAATTCTTTCTTTCCTTTTTTTAATAAAATTTGATGGTAAACCCGCGCACCCCCCCCCTCTTCCATTCTCAGCCCGCTCCCAACCTATTATAATCTACCTACCGGCAAACACATAGAACAAATGAAGAAAAAACGCCCCACAATATCTTTCCCGAGAGAATTAAAGAAAGAGAGAAAAAAAAAACCAGATCCCCATACTGTATTTGAGCCTGTGGAAACTTTGCTGGTATTCAAGAGGAGAGAGTCCCTGGAAATAAAATGATAAAAGGGAAAAGCAAATGCAGAAACGCACAATCACCCGGAAGGAAGAGAGCTTAAGGTCCCCCAGCCAAGCAGTAAAAAAAAAGGAAAAATGGTATGATAAAAAGACACAAAACTAAATAGAAGTCCCCCCAGCTTTGCTCTGCTTGCTTTGCGATCCTGCCTATCCCATCCCATCCGTAGAACCAAATGACACTACAATACTCCGAAAAAATCAAAATCAAAATCCCAAATCCAACCAGTGACTCCATTTGTCCAGCCCGAGCAATGTGTTACTGCCTTTTGTAATATCTGTTCGGGGAATCTGTTCTTCCCCTTCTCCTTCCTTCTTCTCCTTCAACCATATCCCCTTCTCCTATCGTACCGGACTCCAGCTACCTTCACCTCACCTCACCCTTGACCAACCAAATCAACCACCCCCTCCCCCCAGTTCATGCTCTTTTTTTGTAATCTTTCAGTCTTCGGTATTTCCTTCAAGAAAAATTCCCAGTCCTTCGCCGTGACCAAAACACCCCGAAAAATCTCTTACACAAGAAAAAAAAAAAGGTAGAACGAAGAAGGAAATAGAAAAAGAAAAAGAAAAAGAAAAATGGAAACCCTAATGCTTTTCTACCCAACTTCTTTCTTTGCCCTGCCTTGTCGACCTTTACCTATAATCATTAATCGTTGCACGCGTTTTCCCGATGCACCACCTTGGTGATTTTGCGCACCAGGTGAAGGGCGTGAACGTCATCAATGCTTTGGCTCCAGAAAGACGCAAAAATGTACCCAGGAATAAAAATAGTAGAGAAAAGCGAAGAAAAAGAGAAGAAAAGTCCAAAGGAGAAAATGAAATAAAGGCAAAAGTAATAATAATAAAAATGAAAGGATATCCCGCTTCCCCAACATCCGTAAGATCGATAAATGCCTGCTATAAATCCCAAGGTGATGTTACATACCACAAAAGAAACAGAGGAAAAAGAAAATATCCCACAACCGGGGCTCACGCACACCCCGGAAAAGGATATGAATGAAGAGGAAAAAACGATTAGTTTAAAAATTACAAGAGCTTAGCTTTCGTATGCGCAATAACTTGAGCTGCGATCCATATTGAGCATGGCCAACAATCGAGCCCCAATTTGCCTTTTTTCTTCTTCCCCCTCTCCGTTCAGAGAGCTGAGAGGTCCGGGTAGTAACCGCGTGAGGTTTCGGCCGGCTCAAATCGCCCACATTTTGGGTAAAGGCTCGTGCTGTTGAACCTTTGCTCCCTCCCAACCGAGGCGCCGCTACCCAACCAGTTTGCGCCATACTCCTTGTACTCTTCCTTTGCCGTCTTTCTCAAAGAATCACTGCTTGACATGCTTGCAGGTATGTAAGAGGACACGTCAGAATCAAACTGTTGACAGTTTGTTTCCAAAGGATGTTCACTCTTTCGATCATTACTATAGGAGTGAGTTTCGTAATTGCTCTCAAGATTCTGCGGAGGCGGTTGGGTGGTGGACTCATAGATAGTCGAGGGGAAATATTGATAACCGACGAAACCAGAATCTAGTTGTGAGGCAGTCTCTGCATCCAGGATTGGGTCAATCGGAGGCTCAAGATGTGAGGAAGAGGATGCACTAGATACGGAAGGGTTGTGTATGGAAGATGTCGCGGGGGATGAATGCATGGACGATATGCCGGTGGTATGCAGCTGCAGGCTCGTCATTCCTATAGAGGAACTTGAGCCTCCAAGACCAGAAGCGGGAGGTACTCCGTCCGGGCTCATAAAACCGGATCCGCCAGAGGTGGGTGAGGGGTGGGTACCATTTCCATTCCCGGAGCCCCCTCCTGCACCAGGGCTGGAAGCGCTTGTTCTTCGCTCATCCGCGTAGTGTCCTGGGCTTCTCCCGCGTACCACCATGGGGGCGGAAATCCTGTATGCAATCTTGACCCAGCCTCCGTCGGAACCCTGCGGATTTGAGGGGTGTCCGGAAACACTGGTCGCTGGGGAAGACGGGCTACCGACATCGGCATAAAGCTCGACAATTAAATGGTAGTATTGTTGGGCGGCCCGTCGCTTACCGTTGTTGGCCGTTGCCGACTTGAATTGGATCCTGTCAAAAACGGCAATGTGTTGCTGCTGCTGGGCCTGTTGCGGGAAGCTGTACTCGCGGTCTAAAGATCCCGCCTGGGGCGAGTGCACCTGCTGCTGAAGCACAGGGCTCGAACTCGAGGCGGCAAACGCCATCCCCCCAGTCGGTTGGGGGCTAAGCTTTATCCTATTTGGCTTGTGCTGTGGGCCCTTGTCTCGTTTAGGAGTGTGCTGAACAAGATCAACAACCTTTCCACCCGGTGCGTCTACCACTGCAGAGATGCACATGGCGAAAGCGAGAACGTGTTCTGTGGGCCCCCCTGAAGTTCTCCTCAGGTACAACGGCAGCGAATAAGTGGTGGGTTGTAGGCTGTAGGAGCAAATCACCGAAAAGTAATTGCGTCGGTAGCACGTCCAATCCCGCTCGGAGAGGAAGAAGCCCTTGTCCACACGAGCGTGAATCTCTGGCCGGACGAGGTGTCCATCGGCCGAAGTGAGTGAATGGATGAGTTGAGTCTCCCCCAGGGGAGGGCCAGCAGAGTTGACGCCCAAACCATTAGAAGTAGGGTCATGTTGCCCCGGTAATGGCGAAGCAAGGTTGGTACCGACGGTAGGGGAAACGGTGATTGCGGGAGATTCCAGAGGACGGCTAGTTGGCGCCAGTGGGGAATGAGGTGGTGCCAAAATATCCGGCTGAGATCCTCGAGAAGGAAGATGGCGTCCAAGATGGGGAGTGGATGTAGCATAGTCTGCCCTCACGGACGAACCAAGTGAGGGTGAGACAGATTTCGTGCTGCCCGAGGAGGAGCGGTTGTGCGGACCCATACCAGAAGTAGGACTTTGCCTACAAGAGAGCTGTGTAAGTAATACTTCTTCTTCAAAGGCAACAGGAATTGCACAACCACGCACATTGGAGGGATTCTTGATCGTGAATCGGAACTCATGGGGTAAGCACTCGTGGGATAAGTGTGTTGGAAGGCGCCTGGGAATGGAGAGTAGGCGATTGAAGAAGCAGCCGACGTGGGGCTGGAAGAGTCGTAGCCAGAACTGCTAGTAGCTGAGTATCTGCGAGAGGAGAATCGTGGTCAGCTTCGTTCCGGGGAGGAAATAAACATGGCTGAGGAGGAACAGAAAGTCGCGTGATGGAGAAACCAACAGGACTCAATACCGCGAAAAGCGACGACGGCATCAAGGAGTGGGAAGGAGAATAAGGAGTGTGGTTGCGGGTGGGCTGGATAAGGTTGATAGGTGGATTGTGGCATATAGGCAAGGTATGGAGGGAAACAGCGAAATGGAGAGCACACACCGTGGATCCTGCAGCGCGGGCAGAGATGCACTAAACCGACTATTACTGGCACCGGGACCGGGGCGCGAGTGCGAGATAGGATGATCTCGTTGCACGGCCGAGCTCGAAGTGTCGAGAGGTTCGGGTTTGGGTGACATTTGAACGGGACCAAATCCTGTGCAGCCCACAAGGAAAGAGAAGATCGCTGTTAGCCAGACTGCTAGCCGAAATAATATGCAGCACGCAGACACACTGCCAACCCCACACACCCAGCAGTAGTGGGAGCAGGGCGGATCGAAAGGAGAAGCAGAGAAGCCAACAATGGGTAAAACACGAAATAGGAGACAGCGTAACTCCAGAGATGTAAACGAAATAATGCGAGATGATAGGAAAAAAAGAGAAAAAAGAATGCCCAAGGGGGTGAATCTCCTCTCCCCCTTTTTTTTCCCCTCCTACTCTCTGTTTCTCTCTCTCTTTCTCCCTCTCCCCTTCTTTCTTTCTTTCTGTCTTCGTCTTCGTCTTCGTCTTCGGATGGCTGTGCACCTGGGTTGCGGTTGCAGTTGCAGATAGATGTATTGCGTTGGGTGTGTAAACCGGTGCAGTGCAGCGCAGCACAGACGGACAGACAGACAGAGAAAGGAGGAATGGAAGAGTGACAGGAGAAAGGGGAAAAAGAGTGGATAGGTAGATACAAATGGGCAATAGAAAAAAACGAAGAGCGAATGCGTGAGTTGAGTGACAAAAAGAGCGAGGCGAACAGTGGAATACGGTACGGTACAGACAGGATACAGTACAGATCTCGGACTCGAGCTCGACTCAACTGGGTGAAGCGGAATTACTCCTGCCCCACCATGCACGTGCAGTTCTCGCTAGGCATCACTCTTTCCGCGCTGCCTGCATCGGAGATAGCGGGGGACGACACAGGAAGGCAGGCAACCAGAGGAAAACAACACCTAATTGAAGGGTGCATGCAATACCGGCTGTCGGTATGGTCTGGCCCAGCTGTATCCGAGTCGAAGCTGCCGGAGAACAGTGGTGGAAGAAAGGGAAGGGATGAAGGGTGTCGAGGAAAAGCAAGGAATGAGGAAAGCGAAATGATGAAGAGCTGCGGGCGGGAGAAACCAGTGGATGGAAGGTGAGGAAGTGTATGAGCTGCGTATGCTTATGCTTCTGCAGGCCCCGATGTCTCTTTCGCTCCCCATTCCGCTGCTGGCTGCTGATGTGCCGCCAACAAGGAACAGGGAAATCGAACTCCAAAGAAGCAACAGGAATGAAGGGAACAGAGGATAAAAATAAAAATAATAAAAAATTTGTGAATGGAAAACGATGAATTCAGACAGTGAAACGAACCGTATCACGGAGGGGAATAATACTCACTGCTGTTCATCTGCAATGCAGTTCCAGCGCCTGGGCGCAATGACCACAAGACAGCCAGTGGAAAGGATTAAATAGGTTTAGGGAGGGAGGGGTGAGGTGAGGGTTGGCTGAGTGCGTCTATTCAGTCTGAAGTGTTGAGTTCTCTCTCTCTCTCTCTTTCTCTCTCCTCTCCCTTCTACCGTAAACTTTTCCTCTCCGCCTTTCCTTTATTTTTATTTTTTTATACTTTATTCCTTTTTCCCTTCCTTTCTGTTTCCCTCACGAGGGTGGGGGGGGGGGGAAGGGCAAAAAGAGTAAAATAAAAAGGGTTGGGCTGCCTGGGCTGCCTGGGCTGGGCTGCTTGATGCGTTTCGTGCGTTGCTGCGTTGCGTTGCGTGCGTGCGTCCGTCTCGTCTCGCTCGGTGTCCCAAGTGCGCGGAACCCTGGAAGAAAGCCCGTAAATTGCAAGTCAGTTGAGAGTCCTTTCCCCCTTCACCAGAGATCGCTCGTCTCGTTCGCCCGAGAAGTCCCAAAAAACCTCAAAAAAATAAAAAAATAAAAAAAATAGACAATCCCCACACACACACACACCACCACCACCACTACCACTCAGAACCCAACCTGCATGCAACCCATTCCCCCACTACTATTCCAACCCACATAAACTGATACCCCGTTGCCCCGCTACCACCCTCAGAGCTGCTAACCCATCTAAACCACTATCCAATGCCCGAACCCACTACTAAATGATCGCAGCCAACCAGATGAAAGGACATGATGCTAAACAATCCGGGACTCTACCCCAGCCTGATAGGTAGGGCAAGTGTATAGGAGTGCGATGGGCATGGTAGAAAAAACAAAATAAAGATTCAAAAACAGACAAGAGGTAACGGCCACTAGACTGGTCTGGATTCGATCGACGAGATGAGGAAGAGCGCACTGTACTTACAGCAGAAAAAAGAAAGAAGGAAAGAAACTCGGAGCAAAAAAAAATCCTCTGGTTCCCTTCCAAATACGGGTACGATACGGTACTGGAGAGATTCGAAAAAGGCTTTCGTTGCGGAGGTCGATTGCGTAGTTGGAGCAGATGCAAGCCTGTAAATTCCGAATAATGCGTGGAAGCGGAAAGAAAGAAAAATAAAAAAGATATGTGAGCAAGTAAATAGTCGTAGCTCCTTGGATTGATGCTGCTGCTTTGCGGTGGAGCGAACGGGGTCTTCCAAGTGGTGGGGGTGGGCGAGGTATTTTAGGGCGGCTGAGCCTAGGGTCGGGGTGTCGGTATATGTCGGCCTATCTAGGGAAGCGATCCAGGTTCAGAAAACAAATGTTTCGCGCCCTAACACGAAGGGTCTCCCAACGCGTCTTCTCGCGAAGAGTGGAAGGGGAAAAAAAAAAAAAAAAAAGAAAGGGGGTTAGATTAAAAAAATTATATATATATATAAGAAAAATATGAAAATGTGGTGCGTCCCGATTATTATGCACGTCTGTCCGTTGGTAGACAGGAGGACAGGAATCAGAGGTTATGATCCCCAGAGAGTCCTCTTGGAGTTTGAAATGAAAAAAAAAAAAAAAAAAAAAAAGCCAATAAGGGTATTAGATGGAAGAGGTAAGCAGGTAGGAGGCCCAGCAAACTACCAAGCGAAATGACAGGGACGGTTCTTTGGTTGGCCCTGTTGAGGGAAATTGAGCAGCGGGAAGAGCGGGCTGATCGTTCTTACTCAAAAAATTATTGCTTTTTGTGACCCTTTTCTCTCCCTCTTCTCTGCCTCTGTCAGCTGTTTGGATGGATAATAGGTGACCGAATGGGTGAAATGAGTGATGCCTGGTGAGCTGGGCGGTAGCTGTGGGTTAAGCAGCGAGGGAGCGGGTGCTGTAGCTGAACCAGAAACTGATATCCCAAAGCGTGGGAAAGGATGTCGTGATATATATATAAAATCTTCAACAACAATTAACGGTTCAAGCCAACGCGGGATAACGAACGTGCCGCAGAAAGATCGTGGCAGTGAGGAAGGTTTTCTTTTATTTTCTTTTCTTTTTCTTCTTTTGAAGCTTTCCAAGACACTGGTGGATATGTCTGGGGAAGGTTGAATAGACGAAAACGGCGTCCGTTCGAAGATCCAGTTCGACAATATCAGAGAAAGGGATATCGGATGCTGCGAGGCAAGCTGCTGAGATGGCTGATGAACTTTCGAGAAAAAAGTCACCGTACCAGCCTGTGGATAGCAAGATCCAGTCGTGACTGATGCCTTAGGGAAGAAGACTTAATTTATTGGGCATCGAACTATTCAAAAAGATCCGTCACGGCCTCTACATAGTCCGAGCTCACGCTCTCCTCACACCCCCTTCCTCTCCCCCAGGTTCTCTCGACTCCCCTTTCCCATCCGCTCCCACCATCACTTGCTGTACTCGTTCACCCCCCCCCCTCCTAAACCCCTCCTTGCCCCTAGTCGACTCAGACTACCTAACATTTGTGCTTACTTACCTCTGTCCTTTTCCTGCTATGAGACTACCTACCTCTCCATCGGATTCATCTTGCCCCAAATCTGCCTTCCTGCATGCCCTGCGCCCTCCTAGCCCACCACCTTTCATTTCCCTACCCATTTAGGATGGGGACTGCAAGTCAGTGCGCTTAGGGTTTGGAGAGCGGATGAGGGGGAGAAGAGAGGGGGGGAGGGGGATTGGAGCCGGGGTCCCGCTTGATGTTCCTGCGTTTTCTATGCGATTAGAGGGGCGGAAAAGAGGGTATGAGAATCAGCATACGGAGTACAAGTCTCTCTTTCGTCAAACTGAGGTGCTAGGCAAAAAATAGCGTCAAGATCCCCGTAGAAGTTATCGGGAGTTATAAAAAGAACAAGGTTGGGAGCTAGCGCGAATAGGGATTGGGGTTAATGTGGAGGAGGGGGGTGGGTAAAGGATGAAAAAAAAAAATGAAGGAACGAGAAAAGGAGAGGGGAGGGATGTGATGCCAGTAGCGCAGGAAAGAACGAAATCCCTGCGCCAGATTGATACGAGCCTGTTCCTCTCCACCCCTCCCTTCCCATCACCATCCCCTCCTCTTTTTTTGGGGGGGGGGGAAATATCCTCCAAAATTCCCGTTTTGCTACTTTAGGCCATTTCGCAACATCTCTCTTCTTCCACCTGGAAGACCTTACAAGGGTGAGCGAGAATCTGGCCAATCAGCTCGCTCCCAAGAAATCATCCCTGCAAATAATCCTTCTCTTGGATTTCGCCCTCCTTGTGCCCCTGTCGATTCTCTGGGTTCTGTATGGTCAGAAAAGAAGAGGTTGCAGGATGGAATTCGGTGTTGCCGAATCCCCAGACGAGGGGGAAGGGGAGTTGACCCAGAGACAGCGCCAGAAAAATGGAGCCCGCCTCTGCGGTGTATCATATTTCAGTTATGGGCGGCCTGCAGCAACAGAGATGTCTGCAGGTTAACGATATTTATCCGCGGCTTGGCTCCCCGACTTCCGTCTGCTCTGGGACCCGGGCATCGATGATTAATCTATATTCCGATCCCAATTTGGTGTCTATGAAAGCACGAAAGAGCAGCGAGAGGGCTGGCAATCCTCGTTGCCCAAGAGGGGGCATGAGGAGGAGCATAGGGTAGGCAACCATCGCGTCTGCATCCACCTAGTTTTAGGGGGGGGATGGGATGAGGATGATGATGATGAAGGAGCCTCGGGAAGGGCTGTCGAGAAACAAGTGATAAATCAAGACGAGGCAAAGACAAGACAAAAAACGGTCTGCTTGGATTAGTTATTATTATTATCATCACCACCGAGGCACCATTACGAAACAGTACTGCATGTTTTACCATAGTGGGTACAGTGCTGGAGTAGGGTAGGGGGAGACAGAGTGACAGGTATCGTAAAACCATGTCGCCCCAAAGTTCGGACGATTTTCTGTCTCTCTCACGTACGCACCATCGCTCTCTCTTTTGTCTTGGATATTACCAGAGGCTACAGGACGGCACGCTCCTCTCCAAATTAACCTTTAAACATTGATCAAGTTTTTCCTGAAGCGAGCAGGGCTATCATACGGCAGCAACAACCGTACAGGTATCCCTGAACTCGTTTCTGGGTTTCGCTTCGAGGCTCTGATCGAAGGGTCCGTTCACCACCACCCCAAAAGAGAGAAGTTGACTTCTCCATCATATCCTATAATCCATATCCATACTTGTCCCCAGCACTCTACCACATAGCGCTACCGTATACGGACTCGCATAGTTCCCCGTAGGAGGAATATTACTACGGGACCAACCAGATTGCACCGTATCACGGATACGGTGCGCATCGCCCAGACTTTAGGGGTGAAGGGGAAGATGCCTGCCAGCCCCTCACAATGAAAAAAAAAATATATGGAAACCGTGTACTCGAGTACTCGAGTACATACCAGGACATGAGCCACTCGCTGTACGAGTACTGTACCGGCACCCTACCAAAACGTGGTCGTAATGGTGCTACTCCAGGAATATGTATCTACCTAACTACTGGTAGAATTAGCTATGGTTTTGGCGGGGTTCGCTCCCTCCCCACGTGAGAAAAATAAAGCAGCATGATACCCTGCTGTGCCGGTAACTAAATGGTGGTGAGAGGGAAGCTAATAAGATGGCAAGCAATCAAGCAATCAAAGCATGTGCCCAAGCCTCCATATTTCAAGTAGGGTTTTAGACCCCCACTTACTATCGCGGCGATCCATCCACCTCTCCGGCGGATGGGGTTTTTTTTTTCCTTTTTTGCAAGAAACAGAAGGGGGGGAAATAGTTCCAATGACCTTTGAGTCAAAGTTTCTGCCAGCTCCTGCGGTAGGGGTTATTTCGACTTAACTTATCCAGCGTTGGATTGTGAAATTTCAAACTAGACTAACCACCCAGTGAATCAATGGGGACGGTATCCTAAACAGGGATTTGAAAGTGTGAGGTGGTTAGTTGGGGTACCGTAGTTGGATGATCACATCCCCCCGGTTGCCCTTTCACTGGTACCGTACTTATGAGAAGGGAAGGGGCTAAACGAGAGAGACTCCCGACCTACACGCGATATCACACATACCCATGATACTATGGCTGGTACGGGAGAGAGGGAATCTTGATAAGTTTTTTGCCTTACCGTGATTGCTCGAGCGAGCAAATCCCGTGAGGCAGTGATCACGGCAGGTAATTGTACGAGTACCGGTACGTTAATATTCATAAGGAAAGAGCAAAGAGAAGAAAGGAGCGAGACAGGAGCCTACCGTACCGCAGTGAGGGCACAAAAAGGCAAAAAGAAAATATAAAAAAAAGGAAAGAAAGACAAGAACACGGAAAGCATCAGCGGAGTCTTCCTGGGCGGGGGCCCGGGAAGACTGAGTGGGTGGGTGGATATGCGGACGCCTCACGTTTGAAGTACAGACCTTCAGTGCGTACCTTACAGTTTACAGCAAAAGTACGGCCCTTTTGCTCTGCACGACTTGCCCTTCAACCATCGGTGAACGTGCCGCACAGCACACACATCAGACACGATATGATCGGGGAGAGAGAAAGAGACAGACAGCTGCCCGTCCAAAAGAAAAAGAAAAAAAGCCATAGTTGTACGAAATCGAAATGGACCCGAAGGATCTTTGTAAGATGCTTGATGATGATCGCTTCGTACGAGCTAGTTGAACTCAAGCATGGCAGGTGTTTCTCCATCTTCTATTTTTTTGCGCAGTAACGGCGCACTAATCGAAATCCTACAACACCATGGTGGTGGTGCCGTGCGATGGTGCGGTGTGATGCACCGTACCTTACTTGAACTGGGGAAGTAGAATGAGCAGAAGAAGAGGCCATTCTGGTGAGATGGCTGACGGTGATAGCGAATGAGCCAGCGAACTAAATCACCGATTGAGATTGTGGTAGTGATTTGAGGTTCTGGTTGGCTGGTCCATGATCTGGCTGGATGGCTGATTTGGTTGGGCTGCTTGGGGGGAATGCGGGAAGTAGTGGAACAAACCACAAAGATTGTTACAGTCCCACGTGGGGTGCGCGACCGCATAGAATAGGCAGGCAACCCCCGTCATCGGGGCGGGCCGTAAAGGAACCGATTCACCTGCTTGCTAGTACGGGTACTCGAGTACGGTATTCGCGATATGACATTGATAGCTTAACTCTACTCGAGTACGGTACCAGTTAGTGCAAGGATGTTTCTCTTGCTTTGTTTTCTTTTTCCCTTCACTCTTTCACTGCGACATTCGCACGGTACCGTGCTTGTGCTGATTGCCCCACATGGGAAGAGTTGAATCGCTATCCCTCGGGAAAGTATAATCCATCGCCGGGAACGCTAAGCCTTTTTTGGAACGATTTAGGTTTTGCGATTTTCTAAGAAATTGAAGCCGACCCAAATGCTGGGTCGTTTGAGCACCGAAAGGAGTGAAAAATCCAGCCCTCAGGCCAGATGCAGCTAAGTCCTGCCCAACCGAGCCTTAGTGCTCTTGGCAAATGATTCTACTGTTCCAGGCAACCCGGGAATAGGGGTATCGTAGTACGGTACAGGTACGGTACTTGTGAGAAATACCCTATACACGAGCACTTGAGTTCCTCTTCCCCCGTTGGCTGGAGCGGCACACCCGGACACAGAAATTGGTCAGTGGGCGAGTCAGGCAAATGGATAGGGTACTCAGTATCGTAGACCGTCTTTGCTCCCCCGTCTGGCTGGCAGATGACTAATGTCGCGCGACCTTGACTCGGCCGCGCAACCGGTAGTTTATCCGTACCCGCAGGAAAGGAGGGGGAAGAGCATTGACACGTTACGCAACAGATGCGAGTGCATCTCTCAACAGGGGCTAATCTGGAATGGAGTACCGGTACTGTACAAGTACGGTACGAACGACCCTTCCCTTCCCTTCCCCCATCCACACCGCAAGGGGGGGTAAGTTTGTGTGATGCGATGCGACCGCAGCACCGAACAGTAGACTACCGGTACCGTACCGTACTGTACTCGAGTACCAGTTCAAGAGTTCCTTCATTCACGATCGAGACCAACCAACAAGGATACCCGAAAGTGACAATAGCGCTACCGGCGGAATGTCCAAGCCAATGAATGAGTGCATTTTCACCTCGCGGGCGTTTACCCCTGCGTGTCTTAATACTCGCCCCTACCGGTATCCCGAGAACCGGACGGGACCCGTCGTTGCAATACCATCCGCCTTTCGAAACCGACCTCGCGTCAGCCAGCCGCCACCCGGAGGACAAAATTTCTCCGCGAATGTAAGATTCCACCTGCCTGCATACACGCATACGTGAGATGGCAGGGAAATACTGTGTTCTCGAAGGCTTTCAGGCTTCCAGATTCCTTCTGTGGCACAAGCCGATATTCACACAACCGTAGCACTGGAGGGCGCCGCGTTTGGACTGGCCACGGCGCTCGAGTACGGTACTCATACTGTGGCCACGCGAGCTCTTTTTTTGGCTGTTGCGATTTCGGGCGTGGCGTTGTTGGCTAATTGTGGTTTTGGCTGTTTCTTCATTGGCCCTTTGTGGTACCCACTCACCTTTATAGTACGGGTTCTATACCAGTATGATACCGCACTCTTACCTACGGGCGGTTATGGGAGAGGTTGGATTGGTGGCATCAATTGTGGGGGCCTTTGATACGGCATTTCGTTCTGGTCCGTTCTGTTCTCCGGCTTATTGATTGTGGAGAGATGGCTTGGCATGGACGATGCATACTTTTTCGTCAACCGTATGGTACGAGTACCAGCATAGTACGAGTACAACACTTTCCCGGCCAGGACGGGCGGGCCCGTGTGGGGGGACGTCCTGGCAACCATCGTAAGCACCAGTACTCGAGTACTCGTACAGGCACCGGTACAGCACGGCAACCAATCTAATTACCTCTCTGCTGGCTGGGGAACATCATACTGCACGAGTACCGGTACTCGCCTATGGCTGAGCCTCCCCCCTCTCCTCGCGCCCCAGAGTAGATCTCGTTACTATTCCTCCCCCCCCCTCTCCCTCCCAGGCGCGCGCTCCAGTATCTTCGGCTGCTTCCGCTTTCTTCTACCGGTACTGTGAAAAGGTCTCCGGCTCGCTTGCTGGTTTGGCAAGTGGTAGGGTAAAACTCGTATTTTATTTTTATTTATTTCATTTATTCTATCAGGCTTTGAACCCTTCGTATTGATTGATTGAATTTCGCTCGCCGGTTGCATGTGTCGGCGACATCAGCCTCAGCGTTATTATAGCGTATCTGCAGTATTTGTCCCGTTCGCGGTACTTGCATCTATGGTATCGGCTCTTGCTCAGTGGGGTGAGATGGGGTTTCTAGCCCGTTTCCGGCTTAGCCATCCTGATATAACAGCCCGGCTGTGACGCTTTTTACAGTGGGTCGGTTCGCCTTGTGCCTAGACAGTTTCGTTGGGCGTTGCATAGGGAAACAATTGATAGGCGGATACCGTGGATGGGTATATATGGATGGGTGGCTGAGTGGGTCGTAGTAGGCAAGCAAGTGCCGTACCGGATGGTGTACGGCTGTGATTTAGGCTCAGTGGAGCTACCGGTATCCACCATACAGTACACCGGTACGGTGCATTTCCGCACCGTATTGGGAAATAATGTGGGATTCTCCGCTCGCTCGTCTCGCTCGCTCACTCACTTTCACTCCTGTCCATGGTGAACCATCCTCGTTACAGCAGCGGCAGGAACAATACCCGTATGATGCACCACCCACCCACCATACATGCCTCCAGCCTCCAGCCTCCAGCCTCCTTCCTCTGCAATATTCATCCGTGAAATCCGTCTTACCTACATGACCTCGCCTCATCCTACTTTTTTTTTTTTTTACCCTACCTTACCTTACCCTGCCTAACCCTACCGCACGATAGACACCATGTCCGTTCACGACCCCAGCTGCAGAAGACACAAAACAAGACAGAAACCCGACCTTGCCAGAAAACTAGCCGGGAAAGAAGAGGAAGAAGCAGGAGAAGAACAGAATCCAATCTAATTATAGCAGTTCAGTCCCCCAGCCTGGTGGGGAGGCGCGCGCTCATCTCCAGCACCATCATCAAACCCACCTGCATAGCGGAAACTACTAGAAAGCCGCGACATACTCTCTCACACACACTCGCACACACATCCACACCACCCACACGAAAAATGGCCTGCTGTGTGCGCCTGGGCGCAGGCTAGGAGGGAAGTAAGGAAGGAAGGAAAGAAGCTTCGACCAAGTGATGGCGTTACATTACACTACCTGTACTTTGTACCTACCTTGCGATGTCGTGTTCGCCAAAACCTTAACGTGTCGATCCTACAGTGTGTACCGCACCGCATACCGGTACAAGTACAGTACTAGTACATGGCCACAAGTTGCACAAGTGGAGTGGGGGGCGTACCTGGTATGTACCCGAGTGCTCGAGTACCGGTACTGGTCGAGTCGGGTACATTATAGTACTTGACTCGTTCAATCCACTCCTCAAGTATCGGGTGAGTGACGGAGCTGAGCTAGACTGCAACAGGTTAGATGAGCAAATATTGACCAGATCACGGTAGGGTACCGTACAGTACTAGCGCATGTATAACTGACAAGTTCAGCTGGCTTACGCCTTGCCCCGTCAGGTGAAGACCATTCCTGCCCGAGGGTTTTTTTTCTCCTTATATTATATATATATATATATATCTCCGGATGCGGGGATTAGAGGCCTGAAGGAGCTTTGACGGTAAGATGGGGGAACGCCCAAATACTCGTACAGTACACGGTGGGCGCCGGTTGACTGGCTTGTATACCGATAATAGGCTGGAGTTACCAAGATTCGACCAATCATTACCGAACTGCTGTGTACCGGTATTTGGGCTGTTACGCGCGACTGCATCTTATGCGTGCATGGAAGAAGGGGAAGAAGGGGAAGGAGAAGGAGAAAAGGGGGGAAACAATAATGATAATACCGGTAATAACAACAATTTCTATCAAGGCCCCGCATATCACGGTACCGTATTGGACAGTTACGAGTCTACACACGGTACGGTACCGGTACTAGAGTACAGTACTAGTAACAAGGCTTCGGCAGTCCAATCCGCTGCAGCCTACCGTACCGGTATGATACAGTACGAGTACAGTAGATACAAGTACCAGCACCGTACCGCAATCTCCTGCGCTCGGGTCGAGCAGGGCTGAGCCGGGGTACGATATAATAAAAAAACGGAGCAATAATAACAACAACGATAATAAGACCAACAATGACAACAACAATAACAAAAGTACCGTACCATCTCCAGAGAGAGCGCATTCACATACGGACAAACTGGGGGAACATAGATAGAGATCAAATCTAAAAAACAACCAAGACGCGCACACACCCCTTACAGTACGGTACGGTACTTGTATTGTACCATCCCTGCTACTTGTAGATTAGATCTACTGTATCGTACCGGGCAAGGCGAGCAGCGGGCGGGTATATACTGTACAGCAGAGTATTCGCACAATACGGTATGCAGGATACGACACGATACGACACGATACGATACAAGTCGCCGACTACTTGTAGGGGAGAGCAAGGCAAAGCAGGGGAAGAAGAAAGGAGAGGAGAGATCTCCTGCTGCGAGATAGCAGTCTACAAGTATCATAATAATACCAGTTGCAGCCGCTAGGTTACCGGTTACTGTAGCAGCACTAGTTAGCAAGAAAAAAAGAAAGGAAAAAGGCCCCAAAAGAGGAAAGCACTCGAAATGACGATTCGCGAGTGACGGACAAGGATATCATTCTCTGAGAAATATACAAGTATGTGCATGATTTATATACTATACTCGAGTACTATATACAGTACGAGTGTATATATGACTACGGTACAAGTGTCCATTTAGCCTGTTCCTCCCCCCCTCCCCTGACAAAAACCCGTATTTCGGTTACTGTACTGTACTATATCGTACCATGAAGAAGAGGAGGAGGAGGAGGAGGAAGAGGAAGAAATGGGATCGGGTGTCGGTACTATAACCCGTGGTTGGTATGGTATACATTCGATACCTTCGGAGTTGTGGGGTGGTACTCTACCAGCACTAGGTAATTTACATATCATGGGATACCGTACTAGGTTGGGGTTTCCTTTCCTTTCCTTTTCCTTCTCGCTCAGCTGGTTCTAGCTGGCCATAGTTCGCACGGTCCAGGAGGCGATCCGCTGTCCGTGAGGGTGCGTGTGTGTGTGGGGAAAAATCTCGAGGAAGCAGTACTGTACTGTAGTGTGTGTGTGGTGGGGGGGGGGTTAAGTTGCCAGGATATATATGATAGATACGGTACGGGAGATGAATATCATAAGCTGTCCTGCTCTCGGATCTTTCTTTTCTCTTTCTACCGACGTGTGCGTATCATGGAATCCAAGGTCATGTGGCGATTTCAGTACCGTACGGTTATCGTGGTTTACCGGTAACCATTATATTTATTATATTGGGTATGATAGAAGAGGAAGAGGAAGAGGAAGAGGAAGAAGAAGAAGAAGAAGAAGAAGAAGAGGGGGGGGATGAACCTGCCAGGCATTTTCTATTTATCATAATATCATAGCATCATATCATCGATACCCACCCCACACACTCACATTATATCCCCATCTGACAATGGCGGGTATGATACTGTACCCTACCGCGGTGTTCTCTTTGCACCGGTTGCTCGGTTTCGATCCTTCTCCGGTTTTCACATTAGGAAAAAAAAAAAGGAAACTCCAAATCTCACCACCACCACACACCATTTCAAGAGTCTTTCTATTTTTGTACGGTACTGTACGAGTACACCGACGCGCCCCCGCTGTCAAACACGGCATTTCGTGCATGCGGTATGATGGAGGGAGTCTACTGTATTATTGTATAAAAGTATCTCTTTTATTCCTCAGCCTCGGATGTATGTATGTATGTATGTATGTGCACCATGATCTAAAAGCGATCATCATCATTATCATCATCATCATCATCGTTATCTCTTCTGGTTCAGATACTACTACCGGTAGCCGTCCTGGCGCTATCCTTTTCCACATCCACACACACACACACATCCCTTCCTCTTTCTCACTCACTCTCACTCTCACTCGCTCTTTGCTTCACACGCCCCCCCGGTGATAATGATACTGACCGGTAATTGCTGTAGCCTCAAGTACTATGCCAGCATCGCTATCTCGTATCGTGAAGTTTTATCTTTGAAACATCCTTTTTTTCTTTTCTTTTCTCTACTCGTACCCTTCTTTCCCGCGCGCCATCATCTCCTCCTCTATCTGCGATATCTGCCGTGGGGTATCCGGGTACCGTATCATTACTGCGGTGCATACCCCTCAATGCCTGCACTGTAGAGTGCCATGGTTTTGTCGCAGGAAGAGGGGGAAATGTTCCGCAGATCATGCATCGAGTTACGATGCGGTACGGTACCGTACGGTACTGTACAGTGCTCGTACCCTTTCCCTTCCCTTGCCTTCACTTGACTTCACTTTCCTTCACTTTCATCTCCCTTCTCTCCCTCACCCATTCGCCCACTCGCTCACCCTCTCTCCAATCCCTGGCGAGCGTGAGCATGAACGTGGCTTTGTCTCGTCTGTCGCAAGCTTCCGCCCCCTTTCGTGCGGCAACTCTACTGTATGGTGTGGGGTGGTACGGAGCGGCCCCCCCCCATCCACGCTATTATCATGCGGTGTATGCGCGATTGTGGTACCGGTAGAGGAACTCCCTTTTTTATTATTATTTTCCACTTCTCCTTTCGTCGCGGAAGCTTTTGAGCTAAAATAGGCGAAGTGGACCGATTCTGCTTTGGGGGTCGTATTTCTCCTTCTCGAGGGGCGGCTAGATGCCAGCATTCCAGCTGGGTACGGTAAGTCAAGGGTACGGTAAGTCAAGGGTGCACGCTGCGGTAGATTGTGTGCCGTGACAGCTCTTGTCCCGCCTGCCAACTAGCCAAGCGAGGCTAGGCTAATTTGATTCGTCCATCCACGTGAGCCGCACCCTTATGTGCGGTAACCGGTATGGCATTTCGTGGACAGTGAAGGGCAGTCAGGACAAAACATGGCGAATCATAGCCTTTTTCTTTTTTAATTCATTTTATTTATTCTGCTCGTTCGGATCTCGACCTTGGAAATCGGAAATGTTTCCCCCCCTTCCTCCCCCCCTTAGATAGGGGGGGAGGAGGGGGTTTGTTTCACTCCACCTACCGTACTGTACCTATGATACCTGCCTGCCTACATACCTACCTGCCCGCTCGCCTCATGGAGAAAAAGCTCACTGATTAAATCCGAAAATGTAATGTGAGACACCGTCTTATCCTGTTTGCCAGAAGCACAGGGGAAAAGGAAAAAGAAAGCTGGAAGCGCTAGAAGGAAAGAAGGGAAGGGAAGATGGAAATATTTCTTTTTCTTTTTTCTTCTCTCTTTTTCCCTTCTT